CATGTTCCCCTCGTCGCGGAAGCCTCCTCCCCAACAGCACAACGCCAGAGCAGCCGTGAAGACCAAATTGCCGGGCGATCTGTCCAGCAAAGTGGCGTTCAAGGTGTAAACTCTAATGGTTTTAGGAAATTGGATTCTGGGATGTAGAGCTTAGAGGAGTTTTTGTAGGGTTTGGTTTTGGGAGGACCCACGGTTTGCAAAGGCGTTTCCATCATCCATCAAAAGTTTGTTGCCATGTTCCCATGTAATCCTCAACCACAATCTCCCTTTTACATCCCAATGTCCCGCGACATCCATATTTTGAAAATGTCTACTTGTACTCTTCTGAAGCGCCAACCCTCAAGCCTGAAATCCAATCCCTCGAGCCAGCCTTTACAAAGCCCAACTCCACCCCCAACCGCAAACCGTAAGCCCCAGGCTTTCAAAGCGGGCGGTGCTTATGCTGCCCCATGACCTCAGGGGCTGAAGAGGAAGGAGCTACAGGTTGTCTCATACCCTCCAAGTTTCCAACCCATGGCCGATGGTCCCAAAGGCCTCCCAGCAATCTTCCCGAAACTTCCAACGCGGTACCACTACAGGACACCAGGGCGGCATCCAAAACTTCTCAAAAATGTAATTGCGCTGTTGACGAAGATGGACCGAAGCGAATTTAATTTCTTGTGTGATTTGACTGCCTGAAACGCAGACGGCATGGCCTCTAAATCCCAAAATTTCACTTGAGCCCTAAATCCCAAACCAAAAGCCGAATTCATAGACTATCCGCTTCCCGGGAGCCTCGAATCCGATGCCGCTGCCACCCCCTGTTACCAACGCCACGCGGCCAGCCAGCACGTCCTGGCGACGAACTGGTAACACCCGTGCAAAATTCATAGTATGCTCGTACAATGTTCATGGGGATCTAGGGAATTTATGTAAACCTCCTACAAACTATCCACCTGGTAACCACCCACATGAAACTTCTCCGCAAGTCCAAATACCAAATGATTTGTTAATTGGGATTTGGGATATTTGGGACCAATACTTGTAGCTCAGGCTATGAGGTAGGGTATCCCAAGTCATCCTGAGTTTTGAACATATTTTTTGGAATGAATTGAATGATCATGTGTTGAATTAGCAGCTAACTGCAGATACGTATGCACAGGGTCTTTAAGGACAAGATCACACGCCCCCTTGTAGTACCTTGTGTTGTCGTGCTACAGTCGTACGTGGCAGCAGGAATGCTCGCACACCAGAGCATGCAAGCAAAAACAGGATTGCATAGCGCTCCCTGAACCCCACCAAACCCCATCCGCCAAAATAACGTATTGCCTGGAATATGCAGTCCTCACGGAAATAGCTGCTCGTGGTGATCGCAGCAGCCATTGTTGCGCACCGACGGCGTTTCCAAAGCAGGTTGTTTTAGGTCTGTATTCATGCTTGAAAATGAATATACATGGCAAAAGGGTGACGCCTCCACGTAAGCATTGCGAACGAATTATCTTGAAAGAAGGTCAACACATTCGTTCTAGGCCTACGGTTTGAGCCTTCCAAACATGAACCTTAAACGCTGAACTCTATGCTCCAACGCAGTTGTGCAACTTTTTGCCTTCTGCTTGGATGGGCCAAGCCAAAACGCGTCGGGACATGAGCATCGTTTCCAGTTTCGGACTTTCGGGTCAACAGCGAAGGTTTCAAGGGCTTGGAATTTGGGATCAAAGTATGTTGTCAAGCTGGATTCCCCAACGCAACCCGCTAGCATCACAGTTTTGCGGGTTGCCCTCATTCCTTATTCAACCAACTACATGTTGAGGATTATGAGCCGAACGACTTCCCGACATGCCTCGCCAAAGGAAAGCCTCAGACACAACTTTCTTTTCAGAACCAAAAGCACAGAGATCCTACTTGTCAGACACGTTGTCGCCAATCATAAGAACAATTTCAAGCACTTGCGTTTGGCAACAATTATTCGTTCTTTCATGTTTTCATTTTGGGGGCATCCTGTAGGTGGGGGCTGGCAATTAGCCCCATCATTCCCATGAGAGAAAGTTCAAGGGAGAGGACCTAGGAGGTGTAACAACTGAGTTTTCACCTTTCAGAGCTGCCACTATTGCATTTTGCAACAGAATCTGCATGGGAAGGCGATCTTCTTTATGGCCTGTCCTGATATTGTAGCGATCAACGTGTGTACGGCATTGTAGGGCTGACAAGATAAGAGACAAACTGGGCATCTTGCATCGTAGGCCGGGTTTGATCTTTCTGGTGTTGTGTGAAGGCTTCCAATTGGCGTGCCTGCTGTTTGATTCCAATGCTTTAGATTTAGACCTTTTTCGACTTTTTCTTGACGGGAAATGTGATTTGTTCGGTGACTTCATATTCCTTCCTTGGACGCAGGGCCCACCTGGGTGTATACTCGAAACTGACTTTTTCTGACTTTTTACTATTTCCTTGATTTCCAAGACAAGCGGGCTATCTTGGGTCCTGCCCGCACCCATTAACAGTGACCACGATCTCAACTCAACCACAAAAAAAAAACACAAAAAAAATTGTGCTTGTGCTCATTTTGTAGATCTACTTTTCCCAGACCCAAATTTCCTGCAAATTTGTTTTGCCAATTTTGTGATTTACTTTTCGATTGCCCAATTCTCTGCAAAACTGTTTGACCTTATTCTGCAATCTGATATCCACAATCTGTTTCCCATAACTGCTTTCTAGTTTGCTACTCTTGGATCGGGAGCTTCACAAAGGGATCTGCTAGTGGAGATAGGGGTGGGAAGGTTTTCCTAGATATGGT